TTACAAGATTAAATCTATATAAAATTACATATTGTCTAATAAACCTAATCCACGCGGCATGGTGCTAAGAACGCTAGCTGCATTTCCTCGCTGAATAGTTATGCTTAACTTTTGAGCGAGAAAATAACCAGCTCTCTTGTCACCACCAGCTAACTGAATTTGATAACACCAAATGAGGCTTTATGAAATGTAGAAATGCGTAGGTTTTATGCTTTGATTATGTACTGGACAAAATCAATGGTTTTATGATGAGTGTTAAATTTAATTTGATGAATTTAAACTAGCTTTGTTTGATGAATTAACTGATGTACTAATTTGATGAATTTAAACTGCGAATACTATTTATTACCAAAATTTTTATATTACATAATATTTTTACTTATATTTTAAACTTCCTCTATTTTCCTCACCCTCATATCGCTTTCAAAAGTCTCTAACTGTTTACATGAATTCCAAAAAATATATAAATATCGCATCATTTTTTGCTTTTATTAATAAATATGAACTATGTCTTGTCGTTGTGATCGGGTCTTTTCTTTTATTTTTAACAATAATTATACCATTCGTTATCTGTCAAAGTAAAAGGAGTGATCGACCAGTCAGACTTCAGTCGTGAGCAGATTTGAAAAGCTGCAACAAAATATAAATAATAATGTTAAAACAGAGAGGAAATTTATACTACTGACTTAGAATTCATCCGATAACGCATTGATATACGTGTATATTTAAAATTTTACGAGATCAACATTTATAAATAACGTTAAAATGCGACGAAGTGAATGTCGCTCGTAACTTTATTTTAAATTGATTTGTTAAAAAATCACTGACGCTCTTATACGGATTGTTATTTTTCTTTAATGACACCGGACGATCTTAGCGGACTCCGGCTGTGGCTTTTTTTTTAAAATCTTATTTAAAAGTCGAACGTTGCGATGCGATTTGACGTGGCGGGAGATTTATGTTTATATTGCTTCTAATTTATAACGTTCTATAAACCACGTCAAAAGCCCTCGATATTCGTATACACTTCTGGGTTCCGACTTCGTTTTACCTGCATGGGTTATATTTAAACGTCTTACTTAATTGGAACGTGCGTATGTTGTCTTTTTTCTAACATGTCAAGGATACGCTGTGAGGAAAGTATCTTATGCCCTATTTACCGAATGTGAATCGTAGAAAAAAAAAGTGGTTACTAATGTCCCTATTTCTGTAACAAACTTTTATTATATACAAAATTGTATTATGCATTTTCAATGAAGAAAGTTTTTCAATATGTTAAATGTATTATGATCTATTTCTTGCCGAGGCGAGAACATTTTTGATTTAGACGTAAACTGAACTTTTGTAAGCGTGTTTTTTAAATTTTTTATCATTTTTTTTATGGTTTCTTTTTAGTTATCTCCTTCTTTTTTAGTTTATATTTTCTCTTGAATAAAAACATTATTTCTCATTATCACTTTTATCGTAATTTTAAACTTTATAAGCGCATGTTTTTTCAACTCAATCAGTGAGTGCTGTTATCTTTCATCAAAACAAATCTATGTCTGCTTGCGTGGTTTGAACGTAGTCAGGAGTTTACTATAATTCGGACCAGCTATCCGCTTCATTAACGAAACACGTTTAACAGTTCGTTCCCTTTGTAACTAACCGACCTACGGTTCAATTGTTTGCCCGATGCTTGGTGATTATTGTGCTCGGAGGCTCCGAGATGGGCGCTAGTTCGCACGTGATCCTTTTGCGAGCCGCCACAATGGGCTCGGCGCAGTCAAAGCGTCTCGCCTCCGAAAGCGCGTCCGGAGTCAAAATATGTACAAACGTCGACGTTAATGGGCCAAACAATGAAAAAATGGATATCTCATTTAGGCATTGACAATGCAGCCCGGTTTCGTTTTCGTACAATGGCCTTTTACGGCATCGTAAAGGCCCCTTTGCCCGCTAGGCCGGTGTGGAAACGCCGACCGCTCGAGCGTTTTGCCGAATGGGAAATCTCCGAAGCAGGTAGCTTAGGATACCTGGAACGTAAGCAGATTATAAATGCGGACGCGTTCTATATTGTTTTAAAACGAGAAACGAATTTAAAACCAATTATAACTTATCTGTTGCAGGATTAATTGATAATTATGACCTACTCTTATCAAACCACAGCATAAAAGCTTTTCAAAAGAATAATGCGAGCAAATTTAATTATTGTATAATCAATCGCATTAATTGTGTTGTGTTCGATTAATATATTAAATATTAATTACATTGGTGGTGGCTTATGGTGAGCTTTTTGCCTTTTAGGCATAAAGCATAATCGCAGTATGATAATTTTGTTTAACTTTACGTTTACGTTTTCTTACGAAATATATTTTTCTGAAATAAGAAGAATGTAGTTGTTTTTTAATTTATAACATAGTGTACTTCGTACTTTCGAACGTAAGACGTTACTATACAATTCCTTATCCATCACATCTTTATAAAGGTCCTCGCCAATGCAGAAAGCTAGGGCAAATATCTCTTTATGGCCAACCACTCTCCTGGGTGAAAAAGGTCAAATATCTAGGAGTCACTTCCGACTCACGCATGACGATCACATCACATATTAACGAAATTAGAAACAAAGCCGCGTTCGTCTCCGGCCGTCTATGTCACCTAACCAATGCGTCAAGTAAAATGCCCTTAAGGCACAAATTATTATTATGTAAGGCCTGCGTAAAACCTATTATGTCCTACGCGTGCATAACTTACGTCCACATAAACACTACTCGGTTGTACAAGTTGCAAATAATACAAAATAAATTCATCCGCCGCGCAACCGGTGTGCAGTGGTATCAACGCAACGTCGACCAGCACAGTAGCTGTCGACTCTCGACGATTCGAGAATATTTTAAAGATCTCACTAAACGGTTCTTCGACAGAGCCGAACATCATCCCAACCCTCTGGTGGTAAGCGCAGAATTACCAACCCGACTGGCTAGCGTTTTGCGTTAGACGAAGCTTTAATAGTCTAAGGAACTAAAAGCGTAACATCAGTTAAACAAAAAAAAATACAATTCCAGACCAGACAGACATTTTAACAGCTATTAAGGCAAGGAAGGTCCGACGTGTTTATTCCACTGGTGGCGTTTTTCTGCTTATTATTTTAATGTTAACTTTATGCTGCGGACTTTGTGTAATCAATTGCATTTACCGGCATTTGTGGATCAAACCTTCGAGAACCTTCAAGAAGAGACTATTATCTAAATGAGCGGCGAAACCTTCGTAAATTTATCTTTTGCAAATTCACTTGCTGCAAGTGGCTTCTTAAAAATAATATGCTTCAGAAGAATTCCTGTATGTATATGCCCATGTAACTAAATATAAAACATTCTGAATGCATGAACAATTTTGCGATCGATATGAGAAATAAAGTTTAGTGAGGAGCTATTAACTTAAACCTGGGTTGTAGAAAGCATTCGATGTTGATTTTTTCATATTTAAATGTAAACAATCAAAATAGTATTTTACATTGGCTTTTAAATAATTAATAAAATGCCATCCATCCATGTAAAAAAAATGTTAAGAAGTTTAATGATAGGTACATAATATGTGTACAGTTTCTACAGCACGAATGTAAAATGTCGATATTTGATGAGAGATATGTTTCTTAGCTATTATTATGCTACGAAAGTGAACTTTGAATGAAATATAATGGATAAATTGTTATTTGAAGAATATATATTTGGTCTGATCTTGAACAAATAGATTTATTATTTTACGACTAGTGCAGCAATTTGCAAACTTTGTTAACAACTTAATAAGTAATAGTTTTATGATCTAAAAGAGATTCTTACAAATTTTAATGGCATGTAGTTTTAATGAAAAATGGCCATAGTAAAATATATCTTATATAATAATATATACATAATTATATTATTCCTTATCATGTATTCGCTTTTCTCGGCAATAACTTCCCTAGAGATAACAATTCATCAGAAAACCGCTTAACAGTTTGTAATGTGAAACTATAGAATATTTCAAGTAGGTATGGTATCAAAAACACGTATGTTTATGATAATAATTTATATAATATATTACATTTATTTACTGGCGGTAGAGTGTATAGTACTACATAGAAACTTAAGACAGTATAGACATTTCTGGTGGTAGTGCAAAATAATTTCCTCCCCATTAAAACCTGCAAGCTGCAGTGCGATTGAAGGCTCGGCGTTACGCGATCGTATTGAAGAAAACGTTTCTACAGAAGAAACATCCTAATATTGTCTAATTAAAACATAGTAAAAGATGAAAAATTACCAAGTAACTGCCTCGTACTAAAGCATCTGTTCGAGCTGCCTACTTTATCAAGTCTTAAGATAATCTTAAGGCTTAATAAGCCTTTATAAATCGAACAATCTTTCATTTATTTCTTCTTTTTCCCATTGACTTGTCTCTTCTCATACATCTTAAAAGCGTTCACTTTTACCTATATCGTAAAAACGTACAACTATTATATTTTATACAAAAGTATGCAAACTGTGTATAATTTTGTTCCTTATCGAACAGCATGTCTTCATTCGCACTTGTAGGCTTCCTACAAGCCACGGGTCTCTGTTCAATGAAGCTTCACATAGTCCTTAAAACATCGATTTGACATAGTCCTTAAGAGCACTGGCCGATTATCTGGCCATAACTAATACATTGCTTATGAGGGCTCGAACTTACGTAATGTGTCTCTTACGGTACTTTCATTACGTAAGCAAAGTAACAAGCTACCACCAATTAGTAGATTTTCAATATACATGCTTCCTTACGGCTTCGAGTGGCAGACTATCATCGCTTCACAAGCCAGACATACGATACCATTGCGCAACATCGAGAATCACAGGCATGCTTCCCTCCGCATAGAAAGGCGGCCTATTATCGCGTTGCAGGCCCGCGCTCGTTTCGTTGCGATAACGTAACGTCCTGGAAACACTCGCAGAATCACGCCGGGCAAGGGCCGGGCGGTAGTTAAATTTTAATAAGAGCGCCAATTACGCGCCATAAAGCGCTGTAAATGCGTAGTTAGCGGGGCGCCCCGACGGTCCGCAAATTGCGGGCGCCCCGTTCGCCCGCGCGGAGTCGGGACCTCCAATAAACATAAGTAGCCATGATGGTGCAGTTTTCGTGAAGCCGACGAACGGGCCTCCGACGGGGTCGCCGACCTCGGGTGCATCTTTCCCGCTAAGTTTAACGTCGATTCGTTTATCGCGTAATTGCTGATCCTAAGACACTGTAGATACGCACGCAGCCTCACGCAACGAACGCTTGGTTTCGTCGAACAATAGTTCAATCAAGAGATTCAATCACGTGCGAATTTTCACTCTACGAAGAGAAAATCTATTTAAATAATATTGTTTATGTTGCCGTCCCTTCATCTGATTGCTATTTGGAAGTCGCTGTCGATACATGCAACAGTTGTGACAACTTTGGTTTAGAGCAAGGAAGACTACTATCAAATACTTTCATTTATCTTCAACTAGCTGACCCGGCAAACGTTGTTTTGCCATATAAATTATTTGTTGAAAACAATTTCAAAATACACTTTCATAATACAATTTTAAAAAACAAGTTGAAAATAAAATCGGAACGCACGCATGAAATGTTTGACAGGTAGGAACAGTTTGCATGAGAAAATACGTCAACAAGCGTCGCCCGCGAAACGTCCTCTTCGACCCGGTCGAGGAAGGGGACTTAGGTACGTCGGACCCACCGTCGGGGGTCCCGCCGGATAACACTACACACACAGTTAGTGTAGCAACAAACACATTAGTTCGCCCTCGCCTCCGAGCACGGCGAGACCAACACAACGCGTACACAAGGTACACACGCTTTCCAGGGCGGTTCTCACCGCCCCCAGCCACCGATTAGCTAAAACACAGTCGACGGCCATCGTGGTCTCGGTCCGCACCGCAACTTCGATGGCCTTTAGATGACATGTCGTAGTTAAACGCACGCATGAGCACATGCGCGGCCCTTCCCACAGCGGAGCGAATTCTGGCTAGCCCACCGGTTCTGCGTCAGATGAAGCTTTAATAGTCTCGGGACTGAAAGCACAAACATCAGTAAAAAAAAAAGCATGAGAAAATAAACTTTTTCGATTTTCCTTGCCATTTTTCCAATATTTCTCGTATCATATCGTTTGAACCTACCCTGGACTGCTACAAATATTTCAAAACCAAAATTAGCCAAATCGGTCCAGGCATTTTCGAGTTTTAGCGACAATAACGAACAGCAATCCATTTTTATATGTAAGATTTTAAGAGATCCATTACCTTAATCGTAACCTTCAAATCAGCAACCATCGGCAGTATAAAATCAATGGTAAAGTGACAACATTGAAGCGTAGAGTCATCTCCACCAATCATTGACAAATCAATGGACCAATCAATGGACCAATGGAAAAATTGTTTTAACCTCTGTTGTATGTTATGTTCATTCCAATGTTATGGCTGCCAATACTTTTATTTGCAATTTTTTTGGTTTTCACTAAGCTCTAGTGTTGCGAAGTTACCGCTCACCACGCCTCGCCCTTTAATGTTTATCACTATTTTTAGAAATGACATGGGTATTTTTACGTATAGTTATATTATAACACTGCGTAGTGCCTCGCCCACTTACATTTGTCACTCCCCGAATATTCGTGTAAATAATAATAAACTTAAACTATTGACCACTGAAATATTTGAAGAATATGAAAAGATTGTGCCTTTAATTCGGGCATGAACGACTGATCGATAACAAGAAGACAGTCATTTGTAGGTTACATCAACTTAGTTCTTAACTAATTGAGCTCTTAAAGTTGTATAGTAGGTATCAATAAACGTATTAAAAACGATTTCAGTTGTATGATTCGGTACAGCAACGGTTTAAATGTATATATTTATACTAGAGGTATATCCAACGTTAGCAGAAGGCCTCCTCTGAAAATAGAACTGTTAGGCCATGGTTCGACATATTATAAGGTACAATTATTTTGAACTTTCACTCCTGTCCCAAGTTACCCAGTGTTACAGAAGTCATTGCCACACACATCTTTAAAAACCAACGGAATTCTTTTTAAGAATAAACAAAATAATATTTCCATTTTCTATGAACGAAATCCAACTTTACTTTGGTAACTCACGTTTTTACTTGAGTATATATTGACAAAGGAATCTTTAAGAAATAAAATAATACACATATTTCTGGCTGACGCGCATCCGTTATCAACATTTTTTAGTAATTACAGAAAAATCTTGAATAGTAACGTCAACACGGATGCGATTTATCAACAACTACGCCATATCGAAATACTTCTAACGACCTAGAATTTTACTGATGTAAATACAAGAAGTCATTATATTTCCATTATTTATTATGTAAACCTTATTAAGATAATTATTTAGATTGAACCTATCGTCAGAGAATAATGTTTACATTGTAGTAAAGAACTACGCAAACAAAAGAACAACTTTTGCTCAAGCAATAGGACGCGAGGACTCAATACGAAGACAAAAATAAATCGCTAATGTAAAGTTAACTAAATAATTAAAATTAGAATAGGTAATAGAATTGACTAAGAGCTGAACTTACTTTACATTAAATACTAACCTTACTTACTATTAAATTCGTTCATTTGTCAATTGTAGGCTTATTGATAAGACTTAAAAAAAGCTCCCGCACTAGGAAATATATACTGTTCCGGCGGAAGTTTGGCAAATATGTAAAAATTAGACTCGTAAGAACAATTTATGCAGCACACAAAATTTGCCTCACGTGGGGATTGAACCGGCTGAAATTCGTTGGCAGGGTCACTACTAAGCCTTTGCGCTATCCGTGAAGCCAGGCTTCAAGATAACCTTGGACATGGACCCAATAAAATTAATTTCTTCTAAAAAAACCCCTGTGTACCTTATATACTGTAAGCACTGTTATGTACTTATTTCTCAGCTACAAAAATGTTAGCGCTACATCGATTTATAGAGTTCATTTCTAAAAGAATATTCTTATAATACAATAAATTTTTCAATCATCATAAAAAAAACACACGCATATTTTTGAATAATTCCCGGGTCCGCCTACATATATGAATTAGATGTTATTTCAGCTTGACATCATAAACCTGAGAAAAGAGTTTTCACAGCGGATCCGTGTCATTAACAAGCAATTCCTAATACAAATTTCTAACGACCGTTCAACCGTCATCCTATTAAAGTTGTCATAAACTTGAAGCACCCAATTCGGTGTGTAAACAAATACTAAAGATCATAAGTACAGAGTATAAATGCGTCGACAAATTGTTGATCAACTTGATCCACACTAATTAAAAACATAAACACGTGGTTTCTTGTATTTACGCGAAGAATCTTCTGCGTAGATCGAACTAAAATAAATAGAAAGAGATGACTGTAGCCCGGGTTAAGGTGACCGCTCTATTTGTCCCGCGGCCATGAATGACGTAAGTGGTCTTACGCACAGGTCAAAAATTTTAAAATAAATTTAAACGCTAATAAATTCCATAAAGTATCTTCATTTTGTTTTTAAACGAAGCACTCATACAACGCTATTGAACAGCGATAAAATACCCACCCCATAAAAAATATCACGCCGAATACAATGTTGCTCAATAAAATATAACTTGATGTACAGATAAAAAACTGTTAGTTTTCGAATTGCCCTAGAAAACTAAATTGAAACATAAATATGTTCATATGTCCTCATCAATATCGCTTACTGAGTCTACCCCTGTGGAGGATAGAACAGAATCTTTAATTCCTTCCACATCCATAGGCATGCGTGTGCACTCCATACATCCAAAAAAGCTTTGCAGACCCCGTCGTCCCATACAAGCATTGCCCAAAATACTGAAACTCACGAGTACCTAGGGGGTAGGGTTATATATTTTTTTTCATGAAAGAAAAGAAACTTAATGTCCCACAGCCTTTCGAAAGACCGCTTTGGGCATCATTTCAGTGACCTGTTATGTCATAATCAATTGCAAAAATTGACAAAATAACGGGTAAGTTTTTTTAGGGCATATATCCTGTCTGAAACATCATCTGTGGTCCATAGGTATATCAAATGGATTCATAGGCATGAATTATTTGTGATCATTACAGGCACGAATTACGCCGACCTCTTATTACTTACTTTCCGCAGGGCGCCCCCTACCTAGTTTGCCATTCGCTTTAACACGATAAATTTTATTTAATACTGTCTATCTTTTCGTTCCGTTTGATATATTTAGACTTTGTTTTCCAGAAACTTCGGTCGCTGTGGAACAGCAAATAGTTCTTTGGTGGTATGCCATTTTGACTTTCGTTGCAAGGTAATTCATATAATGTTATAGTAACATTTATTCTTTTTTAAGTTATCTTATATCATAAGTCTTCGAGAATTTTCTATCATCGACCACCACCAAACTTTAATGCTTCGAACCAATGCTTCGAACGGAATTTAGCCGTTCGGTGTTTAGGCTGCTCAAGCACTTTATCGGTATTATGCTTTGCGAATTATACATCTTATAAATATTTAAAAATCACCATCACCCATTTCTTAAGCCTCCCATGTCGCTTAATCATCATTTAAATTATAACTATGCCCTATATCAATCCCACAATTGAGACGAATCGAACGACATCTCATATGGCATAAAGCATCAAAAGGTTAAGGCTGTAGAGTTTGAAATAGTGCAAAAGCGAAGACTGTTGCTTGGCCCTACCAGAGTTTCTTCTGTTTTAATTGTGTCGTTCTTATTATATATACCAGCGACTTTACTTGTTTCAGGCGTCAGCGTCGCACGGGTAGTAGAACATAGAGTTTTGTCCACGCAACATGATTTTTTCCAAAAACTTCAACAATCATCGTTATATTTTAGCCAAAACATGAAACATTAAACCTTCGTCGTGAATCACTCCATCCATCGGTAAAACACGTACGAAAATTCTTTCCATATGTTTGAATTTATAGCGTTCAGACAGACATACATACGCGGCGAGGGGACTCTGCTTTCTGATATGTGATGAAGTTTCTGCTCAGTGACCTGACTGGCCTAAATAAGCGAATGAGCTGCAGATTTTAGGCCTCATTAGTGTTTATAACAGCCTGAATTTGGCTAGTGTGATTATGAACGCTGTAGAGTTCGAATTTTTTTTTTTTATTAGAAACTGGCCAGCGCTTGTTTGCCATTCCACGTGATGGTAAGTAGTAATGCAGCCGTTTATGGTAAGCGCGCTAGCTCAGTATAAGCCTATCCGCTCTTGCCTTGATGACGCCTAAGTTATAATCGAACAGAGAGATGGACACCGACAGGTTATAAAATTGTTAAATCAAAATAAAACTTACGGCACAGACAACTTTCGACTTTGTCATAACTTACTAGCTACGTATCAGCGGCTTCGCTCGCGTTGGAGCTCTAAATAAATATCTGTTTTTTTTAAATATTTTATTCAATAAAAAGAATCCCATGTTTTTAATACCTCTCAGAATAGTAAGCGAATAAAAATATAAGTACATTATATTTGGTTTCATTATATTTGGTTGAGTAATTTGGCGTGAAAGCGTAACAAACAAACTTACATTCACATTTATAATATTACGGATAGTAGGGATGTGTGTTGCCCTTTAACTGTTTCGTCGACGGCAAGTGCGCGGCGGGCCTTAGCGCTCGTGGCAGAAGCGTGGGCGGGGCCGGCGCAGAGCGCGGGCGGCGGATTAAGCGCGGTCAAAGGCGCGACATGAAACGCGCCGCCGAATCTGCTTATCACGCCGCCCGATTGTTCGCCCAACCGGCCATATTACACCTATATATCAAAACCTCACGTGCATGTACATACGGCCGAACTGATACGCAGCACTGTGCGCGCTCGATTAATTCCCAAGTTCAAGATTAGAACTAATTGCGTCGTTATGTTTGTGCACGTTGATTGTTTATTATGCAATGCCTTCGTTCACTTATACATATATTTATATACTCTATGTAAGAGCTTTGCGGCATTTCACGAGACTGTTTAGGACTTTGACATAGGAGAGGTCAAATCCAACCGATTCGGATGCTGCTTTCGGAGGAGAAGCATTGGAAGCTTCTCATTGTACGAAGACCACTCTCAGTGATAGCCAGGGCGATATCAGAAGAATTAAAAATGGCGAATATATGAGCCTCTTTGTCAAGGCTGTTGTACCATTTCCGGTATTTTTAAGTCTCTACTATAGTCTGCATGTATATAGAGACAGCAAGTGTCCCAGAAGAGTGAAAATATCAATAAAAATCTAAATCTTAAGATAATAAGGCGTTCGATGGTAACATCAAACACGTCATGAATGGTAAAAACCAGTAAAGGCTTACGGACCATATACACTTTATCTATATTTCTTGTTGAAATTTTAAAATAATTTAATGTTCAGAGTTGACAATGACGACATTAGGTAATTCTCGAACAAACGTTGTAGATAAACAAGGATCTATTAAAAAAAACCCTGGCTACGTAAAAGTGTTCATGTAAATTACCGGTACATAATTAAATCAGTTACCGATACATACTAATGCTATGGCTATGATTTTAAGAATTGAATTCCCATAGCGTAAATTAAAGGAATCGAATAATTTTAAATGTTAAAATTATTCCAATTGCTAATTCTTAGTGATAAGTTTTTGTGAACAGTAGATAGGAGGAAACTATTTATGGATTGAACCTATTCATGGCGCCTTGTATGATAGTGGACCCTGAGCTAGCGCGCTTACCATCAAAGGCTGCATTGCTTACCGTCAGGTGGGATGGCAGTCAAGTGCTGGACAGTTCAAAATAAAAAAAAATATAGTGACTAGTGTGTTGGTTCTATCCACACCGTTGGAAAAATATTATGCGATGAACATACTCATTTCCTGGATGTTAATATGCATATCTATTATACGTGTTTATGTACAAAATAATGTATGGCTAAGTATTTTCATCAGTTACCAAGGAAACATAAAAGGTTTGCTTACGGTGTGTAAAATATTCTGTGAAATATTTGTTTATTTATTTATGCTATGTACATACTTCGGACGAGCCGGCCAACATCAGCAGGTGCTTCTTCGTTCTTCTTCGCTCTGCCACTAGGCTGGGCTGGGGATGACCGAGACATTCGTCAAGCTAACCCTAATAAAACAGGACAAGTGCGAGTCGGGCCCGCGCATGCCCTTCATGCGTACCATTATCTATAAAAACGGCAAAAAAATCATGTCTGTTGTATGGGAGCACCACTTAAACATTTTTTATTCTGTTTTTTATTATTTTGTTGTTATAGCGGCAACAGAAATACATCATCTGTGAAATTTCAACCGTCTAACTTTCACAGTTCGTGAGATACAGTCTGGTGACAGACGAACAGATAGACGGAGGAGCCTTAGTAATGGGTCCCCTTTTACCCTTTGGGGACGGGACCCTAATAATTATACATGTATGCTTGTTTTCACGACGGACACCGTGACACTTTTCCAGGCGAGGCATATTCATTGACGCGTCTCCGCGGCTCTACCAGTGGTGTAAAAATTAGCGGTGGCTTTGGCAATCTCGTATTCTACTCAGCCCATCAGATTGTGTGAAGATTTTCGTAGTGAACGTTAATATGTTGTAGGTGTTACGTTTCTTCACACCTGCCTTATTAGGAGCCGTTCGCTAGGCCCGACCGAAGAATGGCAGAGATTTATTGCCGTCCGATCTTCGTGTCTGCGCGTATGTTGTAACTCCATTCAGATGGACGGCTAGTTACGTCTGTGAAAATCGAAATTCACAGGAGATAATAACGAGAAATCGTAAATGAGCGTTGCGTTCTCGAAATATTCGTACAAGTATATTTTGGATGGAAACATTATAAACTCACGTTATATGTACATACATACTTTTAGTTTATTGAACTCAGTATTTGGTAAATAAGACATATCATAAATTTATTATACAGTATTTAAGTAAGTACATAACTTCTTAATCATTTTATAGAAAAACTAGAACTAAACATTTTACAACAACGCTGTTATTCACGCGGTTGGCATAATCAAACAAAATATGCCTCTTTTATTGGAAGTATATTAGTATAGTCGCTTGTATAATTTACTCGTCTTATTTTTATTGCCAATATTAATAGTACTACTCATTAACCGAGACAGTAACAGTTTTGGTATAGTTCTGGTCTCTAAGGGTTGTCACTATTGACACATGACTTCATTAAAATATGTTTAATGAAAATCTATTAAAACCAACGTATTTATTGCCTGTGTTGTCCGTCCTTCACGTCACTTTACAAAATAAAGTTTAAGGGATTATCAATAACATATATAAGATGCCGAAAAGCCAATTCCGCGCTCTATCGAACTCTCCATCGTTTTTAAATCGACGCGTGCGTACATAACTTTATGAGTAATGTTTACGCCATAAAAGCGAATCTGTTTGTCTCTGGCCACAAACGATTAACCGCGCAGTTTGAGTATCAAAATAAAACCGCCCGTTCAACGATTTCACGGCAATTAATGGCGTCCGAATCGGCTGATATATTGTTCTAACGTAGACGAGTTTAGAACAATGATGTGACGGAGCGCAGTCCATAAAAGCAGGTGACGCTGTTTAACTCGCCGTCAGGGTTTTTTTATTGTGCACTATATAAATTTATGGAATCATCATCGGATTGTATGGACTCCGTTCGGGCCATAACGGTTATGGACTCGATACACGTATATTCACACCCAATGAGCCGCGCTTCCGTCGCTAATATACGACTGACGTGACTGGTGCAAATTCCGTTGGTAATTTTCGCTTTCTTGGCAGAATTTGACATAAGTACGCACTTTATGTTTTTTTATGCAAGAGGATAACCTGATGTTAAGCGATGACCGCCGCCTATGGATATTTGCAATTGCATTGGCAACATTTAAGAGGATTACTCAACCTCGTCCCGACCATACTTTATGCTGGTTTTAAACGAAAATTGCTTTATACACCATTTCCCAAACTCTTCTCCGTTTCGCTTGCCTTTGACTCACGTACCTAGATGGAGTTATAGTGGTTGTTAACCACTGTAAATAATGTAGTTAATTTATCTGACTGTATAATTTAGTTTTACATTTTCTTGACTATTAGTAGAGCTGATCGCCAACCTTCAGTGATATGAGAGGCACAATGAAAAGAAAAAGAAAAAGACTTAATCATTTACAAGCTGCAATCACAGTTTCATTATCAACATCATTAGCTGAAAAGAGTCCACTGTTAAACAAATGTCACATTAGAACTCCAACGTGAAATAGTGCCAATCACAGTTTAGGTACTTCAATACTTGAGCGGCATATTTAGAAACATTGAAACATAATGTCGAAAGAAATTACAGTTTTTTATAAACGTTTACTTTTATATACATTATATAAATGTTGTGTTTTTGAATAAGGTATAATGCTTTTGTTTCATAGATTATCCTTTAAATGCAAACAAAAAAATATTACCATTTTGTAGTAACTTTTATAATTTTATATTCGCTGCAATTCGTGCGTTAAACGCACCGTAAATTAGTCGATATAAATGCGAAGTAAAGCTTCCTGTAAGGAATTAAAACAAATCATGTTGTACATTTGACCTTAACTTGGCCACAGGTTTCGTGATTTCGTCGAATAACCATAACGTTAATTCTTTATTAACAATTCCAAATTGCAGTGTTAAGTACACACGGGCTAAGCGCGTTAAACGTTATTGGCCGAACACATTAACGGTTTACATTAACGGCTTATAATAACGGCGGGATTAAGAAAGAGTTACAGCCGTTGTCGGGCCGCAATTAAAAATATAAATATTCTATAACAATAAAACTCTCCGCGCACGGCAGCTGATGGAGGCATGTGTATGTCTGCCTATCGCGAGGGCCAAGGACTTATTATTTTCTGGTCAATTGCCGCTTTACTGCGCCTGCGCATCCCGCTTCCAATTACCGCCCTGCCGCCAACGCTATAAAACCGGTAGCCGGGCCCAAAACGCCCTATCTCCCACGGCCCGCGCCCGAATATCAACCTTATAACGCCCCAGCTAAGTCGAGAACACAAAAGCACGGCTAAGTGAGTTGCGTTTCGGAAAAGAGCGGCATGCAAATTACGCTTAGGTAGAACGTGTTTGTTGTCCGTGCCGGGTTTTATTTTTTACAATTATATCGTTCGGTTACTTGGAAATGCATTCAAAGGGAATCGAAGAGGGTTCCTTGATGTTTAATAGGCTTAGATTAGAATTTAAAAGCCGCTCGGGTCGGCCCCGAGGCCATTAAATGGTTCTTAGGACTACAGTATATAGTGGAAGGATTCAATATGTAAGATATCGAAAAAACGAAGCAGGTATAAACACTCCCGTATGTATACTGAAACCGTATGTATAATTCTTGTTGCGTGCGAGCTACGGACTTTTCCGACAGTTTAAAAAAAAATGTAAAAGCTTTGTTAATTACTTCTATTGTTTGTTTTTCTTCCGTTTTATTATCCATAATAACATAACTCTATGCTAATGTTTTTAAATTTCGAACATTTTCAATAAATGGTATTATTTATTTGATTTTGTGTCATGTTACTTATATACTATGATGAAAAGTAAACGATATTGGTTTTTTCTGCAGATCTATGGACTGTAAATATACATTTTACTCTTCTTACGTATTTTTCGCAATTATTTTTTATTTTAACTCCCGTCGTATAGAATACTTTGCTTCGTGGGTTTAGGCAGATTGTGTTACAATGTCTTTGTTAAACAGAGCTCACCGTCAATTTTTAAAATTATACACGAAAATAAAAACGAAAGTAATAAATCCCTAAAAACAATTTCATTTAGTGATGACGTGTAGTTGTGTAAATATATGAAATAAACATTTAATTCAATAATTATGTGTAATACTAATGACTCAATCATATGTAAGCAACGATTCTGTTATTATTTTTGAATAAGGATTTGTATTGATTTTGTGAAAACATTTTATGTAAAAGGCAAATGATAATAAAAGCCTCCTATTTGCCTTCTAATTAAGTTGTATCTGAATTAAAGTTTCTTTGTAAGGCCAAGAGATATCCTATTATGTGTTTATACAGTGTCAAGCAAAGCTTGCTGTTGGTGTTCACACTATTCCGAGCAGCAGGTTAGTAGATGATCATTAGAGTTGGGGACAGCAAGCGACATATAATATCCAAAACACAAATCTCAAGTAAGCCTGCAAGTTTAATAACAATACCAAGATTTAAGCTAAGCCAAGGATATGGTTGCATCACTTTATCATCCCGCAACGATTTTTGCTGCCTAGGAAATTACTAACACTAGGATCAAGAGTAGCATAAATAGGCAATATTTACGTAAAGGCAGCGTTTAGTGAATACAGGAGAATGAAAGTTAAAATCTTTTTTTTTATGTGAAAAGTTGTCAAGGGAGCCGACGGTTCACCTTATGCTAAGTGAATACTGCCGCCCATGGACGTCTGCTACACCGTAGGGTTCCAGATGCGTTGACAACGTTATGGAAATTGGGCTCCGGCCACCACACTCACCAGACGAAACGAAAACATTATACTTCCACTTTACGCTGGTTTTCTGTGAGGTCGTGGTACTTACCCGGACGAGCCTGCCCATTCGTGCAACAATCGAGGCTGCTGCGTGGGCCTACCACCGTAAAACCGTAGAGAAGATGGACGCCTCCTTGCTCCATCACCAACTTTAGCCATTCGCCCAATAACTTTAGCATTGCTTATATCATAGCGAGCATTTTACTGCACTTACAACCATCGACGTCTTAGTTGGGGACCGCCATTTCTTCCATTGAGTGTGAAAAATGGCGTCAATTTGCGATCAACCCAGCCCGTGTAAGTTAATGACAGTTTGCGCGTAAAACTTACGAATCTTATTGTTTTGTATTGAATAAATTCCATATTTATAATAATTATTCTGAATATTGATATTCTGTAGTCATTGCAAAAAAATAGTTTGACTAAAAAACAATTGACTAAAACTTTTGAATAGAATATAGGTCCCTCTCGAAAAGCCTCTATATTTGTCTCATTAGTTTTAATGTCAAAACTTAAAAAGTTAACTGATTTTCAGTTACCGCTTTTCGCGTTTCTGATCCCATATATTCCATCCATAA